GCTAGCCGTTAACGGAACTAGGAAGCAGACGTTCACTCACCTTCTCGTTCTGATAGGCGGTCACCGCGATAAACTCCGTCTCCTTGAAAACGTAACTCCTGAACGTCGAGTAGGGAAGCTTCAGGATGTCGTTGGCCCGCACCAGGTGAAACCTCGGCTGGTACTTGTGCATCGAGTTCAATATCGTCTGAAACAACCAATGGACCGTACATTGGGACAGACTGTTTCAGCTCTGAGCTCGTGCTCGCAATCGTTTCTCATTCTCTCTTCCTCTCTCGAGCGTGCTTTTTAGGAAATCGACTGGCCGCCACGAGCAAAACCGCCTCCGCGTACAGGTTATCTGTGTAGGTTGGCAACACTGCTGGGAATACCTTAATGGCGGATCTGGATCGTCGATTAGAAATTTGAATTAGAAGATATTTTTATTTGAGAATTTATGATACCAGGGTCTGATAATTTATCGAGATTACTGGACAGTTTTTTTTTCGAGATGGTAATTTAGTGGCGATGGAATTTTTTACTAGATACAGAATACCGAGAAGTCTAACTAGGGAATTTAATGATTTCTAGATATGTGACTTTTGGTAGTGGAAATTCTCACTAGACGTGGAATACAGCGAATGTCATTTAGCAAAAGGTGAAACGTGAAGATTTAATTTTTCGAAATTTACCTTGGAAGCTTACGCGCTTTCGATACTAATTGAGAATGACTGGACGATTTCTTTTGGACAAAATAATGTCTCGTTGATTGAATCTTACGGTAGATGAATTGTATTTTGTAAGATGATTATAAATGATTGATTTACTGGATTTGATTAATAAACTTGGACGCGATCTAAATGTTATTTCATAGACATATTCTCAATATTAGTAGAGGAATTTTCGAATGAAATAAAATTCAACTTTTTCCCATCTTTGTCTTTACCTTCTTCGGAAATTTACAGCCAGTGTCGGTCGATTTCGCTTTCAACTTGCTCTAACATCAGCCCATCACGAATATACTAGTCGAACACGATTCGGAAATTTACTTGCATCGAAGTATCGTCGATTTCTATACGAATCAAACTTTCCAGTTACGTGAAACGACGTTTTGTTCGCTAATATATTATACGCGATGGGCTGCTACAAACAAGCCAGATATCCCAGCAGAAGGGAGAAACCACGAGAAAGAGGAAAAGCAGGACAGAAGAGACACGAATTCTAGTCGGAGTTTATCATGCTCGTGGCATTCCGAAAGCGCGGTTTACAGATTGAGAAGATTATTTCGCAAAGCGGCATAATCGTTGCTCAAGTTGCATCATGCACCGCTGATCGACTCGTATAAACTCGTTCTAAAGCTCGTCTTTCTTTCATTTGTAGAACCAATGTCTCCGCCACGACGATGACGACTATCGTTTTTATACCTTATGCCAATCGTATCATCTCGATTTCTCAATTTTACCCTCAATCTTACCGTCGTTAGTCTCCAATTTCCTCGCTACTTTCAAAATCACGTTACGCAACAATCGTTTATTCCTTTATCAACTGACTTGAAACCAAGAAAAAAAAAGAAAAAAGAAAAAGAAAGAGGATATAAGAAACGTAAAAGCTCGTATAAAAGCGATAATAATTTTTATCAATATTCTTCGCTGTATTTATTTATGAAGTACACAACTCCGTGATCTAATTGAATACAATTCTTCAGCAATATAGCACTCGTAGTACATATATACAACATACATGTAATATAATGAATATTTTCGAACCAATTAAAATCCGTTGGACAAGAACCAAGAACGCTAAAGTACCTCTGCTACGTTTCTAAAAAAAGAACAAAAATTGGCGTCTGCGTCCTTTCCTTTTGGAACACCTCAGTTATTTTCCAAGTTTCCCTAAATTTCGTAAATAGACGGCGAAATCTGAAAATGCAAAATCGCACAGGATACACGTAACACAAAAAGATACACAAGGTATGCAAAGCACAAGGATTTCTATAATAATATGCGATAAGTGAAAAAGTGTTCTTTTCGCTTTTTTATTTGTCTAATTATATTCTCAAAAATCAGGAAGTTGCAAAAAATCGGCAGTCTAATTGGAGGTAGCGGAGAAATCCGAAGGATCACGGAGAACTGTAGGATCCAGAGGACACGTGAGAATAAGAAGCTTCGCGAGGCTGCTTTTTGAAAGAAACGCCGGCGCAATCTCAGTTTTTAATGGCGAACGCTTTAAGAGCGATTCGTGGCAAAATAAAACGATCGGTTCGCTTTTAGTCGCGTCTGGTTGCACGCGCGCCGACGATGCAAATGGCGCGGTAGCAGCTAACAAGATTGCACAGGACATTCCATCGTGGAATGGACGCAGCTTCGTTGGCGTCTCGATAAATCTACGTTCCATCCTGGAGTCGCGGTAATTACGCCGCGGAATTTTCGTAATGGAGAACAGCAGGCCGGTTACTATTTTATAAGAAGACGGCCGTGGCGAACGATCCTCCGCTTCTGACGAATGAACTTTCAATGGAACGCCATTTTTCGTTATTTGTATTAAACTTTTGCGTTTTTCAATCCCATCACTCTTTACCGATAAATATTCAGCACTGTCTATGGACAAATATTTATACAAAGAACGAGGATATACTCTGTCTATTACAAAATGCAGCAGTGGAAGAAATTATACCATTTAATGGAAAACCATTTTTGTTATGTTATGTATATTGGACTTTTGTGTTCTTTAAATCCTTGTCTCTTTTTCTTTTCTTCTTTTTTTTTATTCATGAAGTAAATATTCAGATTTATTAGATCTTTAAAAAGGATCGAACGACGAAGGCGTGTCTGTGACAAAATGTAAGATCGGGAGAAATTATGGTAATCCTAAGAGGAAACTTAAGCATCGGTCTCTTTTATCGTCCCTTTGAATCAAATTCGCTATTAGACACACTCTTATTATTCCATCGTTATATCTGATCGTGTGGACGTAAGAATTACATAAATCCAATTATACAAGTCTCACGAAATACTGGCTAATCGACGTCATCGATTGGATTCGAAGCTTGAAGTTAGAAGATAAGAACATTTCTCATCGAGCTATTATAATTCAATGGCGTTAACGCACCATACGTACTTTTTCTATCTAAACACGGTTTCACGATATTTTTATAATATTCAGGCTGCGATTAAAAATCAGGAAAATTGAGCAAAAGAAACTTCTCTAATCATTCGAAATCATACGCGAATATAGTAATTCACGCATACAGCAGATTTACCATATACAGATGAAATTATCTAAAAATTCTGAATTTGCATAAAGAGCGGCAGTCTAATTACAGCGAATGTTATACTTTCTTTTACACGTGCTTCCTCATCGCGTGTATTCTGCATATTCCGTACCATCGTATTTCCCATAAACGCATAGAAATCCCAATCGTAACCAGCATCCGACCACCTCCAACCGCCTCCACCTTCAGCCCAGAAAGCTTGCCTAGCCGACAACGAACGATAAAACGAACCAACAAAAACTCATCCATCTTGTCAGGCAAAGGACATCGCGCGACGTTTCTTGTCCGCGCCCACGTCGTCCGCTCTGAGAAACCAAAGTCCTCGAAAACGAACGTTGGTTAGAAACGAAAGGGGAGGATGAAGGGCAAAGGTCCGCGCGATAACGGCCCGGCAAAGAGAGAAACGGTGTCCAATGGAACTGTGGATAGCGAACGACGAAGAAGAGAAGGGGAATAGCTGCGACGGATCCGGCAATAAATAAAACGGCGCGCGTCCAACGTGGAAATCGCGATCACGCGAAAGAGAGAAGCTGGCTGGACCGCGACGGCCGCCATTACGCGCGGCTCCGCACAAAGGGGAAATAATTAGCGCTGCTCGACTGATAAGCCGGCCAATCTAGGCGTTTGTCATTAGCCTATCAAAGCCGAATACCAGCGAGTCTTCTTGCTCTTTTATTTACGATCCGCCTCGACTCGGTTTCGTTCGAAGCTGCGAGTTGGCAGAAGTTGGCGTTTCTGCTATCTTCGTTCCCTCTGCTGGACCTTCGGCCTCGACACGCCTCCGGCGCCGTGCAAAATACGTGCGAACGTAGATCGCTGCAATTAGTACTTCTCCTCGGTCTAATCGTGTACCTGAGCTTTCCGCTTTCCTTTTCCGAAGAATTCGGCAGAAGATTCCTTGAGAGAGGTTTAATTGCGGCGATTTCGAACGGACGACGAAATGGAAGTCAGGAAATTGTTGAAGTCGATTTTGATAGTAAATATTCGTTGTATTTCGTTATAATTCTATGTCGAGTACGAGAGCTTCGTTTGTTACACCGTAGCAGGACGATATTATCTTTGAATGAAATTATTCAGCCACGTTAACACCTGAAACGTCGTAAAGTCAGCTCGAAAGCAACCTTACAGCGTCATCATCCGTTCCAAACCTACGAAACAATCGTCCACCTACATTTCCAGCCCTCGAATAACCAACCACGATCCACGCGTACTAGACATCATCGATCTCTCAGAACACGAGAAACAAAACTGTCGCATATAGGTGCCAGGAAGTATGAAAAAATGACCAGCTGTCGAACAGCCAGCCACAACGAGTGCCACGCTTAGAACGTTTTAGATACGCACTCCGCTGCACTCCCGCGATTTTACATTTCCCATAAATACATAGAAATCCAAGACGGAGTGCTTACATAGAGACTGCGGATGTAAACGGAAATTCGAGTCTTTAGGAATACGAGTAAAGAGATGGAAACTAAGCGAATATTTGTTCCACTCTCTAACTATTACAGCGAGTATTATCATACTTTGGATATCTTATACGTTCTTTTTATACGCACTGCGCGTATTTCTGCGATTTCGAATTTCCCGTGAACGATAATTTCATCGTACAAATATACCAAGACGTATGTATGATAGAAGGTAGTAGCGTGAGCGTAAAGGAACTGGAAAGCAGCGAAGCCAAGGTACGAGGAGAGCAGGCTGGTCATGGAGACGACTCCGGCGACTTACATACGTATCGTGCCGCGTGAATTGACCGGCCAGATAAAAGGGGTGGGAGAGGCGGACACCGGAGGCAGGAAAGGGGAGGCCGAGGAAAGTGAGAGAATATCCTGGCCGACACAGAAGCCGACGCTGCTAATGACTCTGTCCGCGGTAATCTCCGGGTGTTATCTGTCCTGGCTACCTGGGGCCCACCTACTTCGAATCACGAACCTGCA